CCTAACATTTAACCCTAGCCCTAGTCCTTAACCCTAATCCTAACATTTAACAATAACCCTAGTCCTTAACCCTAACCCTAGCATTTAACCCTAACCCTAGTCCTTAACAATAACATTTAATCCTAACCCTAGTTTAACCCAACCCTAACATGTGATTTTGGACACATAAAGGTTCCTGCCTTACTTTAATGTGACTTTGATGCTACATGAGTGCCAGAGAGTGTACAGTCACATTAAAGTCTCACTACATGAACAGAACTGTCATAGTTTCCTATTAGCCACAAAAATTGCATTTTGAAGTCCATTGAAGTCTATTACATGCAAAATGCAATCTGCTGCGGGGAAAAAAAATCCCTGACCCTTTCCAAAAACACACTGGTTCAAAAATGCACAGATGTTAACTTGATCCATCGGAAACCATGTTAAATGGACTGTAGTGCACTTCTGCAAAATGCAATAAAAACACATAGATGTATTGGGTATACACTAAAGGGTTTTTGGTTGAAATTTTTCATTTTAAGAACATTTGTTCAACTTTCAATATATAATACATTTTGTGACAGTTGTTTCTTAGTCTGTAGCAGTAGAGAATCAGATCATATGCTAGTATGCTAATAATGTGAAAGGGATTGGAATTGCAGTGTTACGGGTGGGGGAGGTCACCAAGGGGCTGAAAGTTGTAAACCCAGGGCAGTGCAAAAGTAAAGTATGACATGCCAGTGGTAAGTGATTTCTTACCATGTCACACAAAGTGCACCACTTCTTTTCTGCTCCTTCTTTTATATCCCAAGAGCATTTGCTTTAGACTCTTGCCCCAATCTGTAAGTACAGTACAGCAGTTCAGGAAGCCAAAATTACTTATAAGCTCTTGTTTGCCTATGCAGCTTGCAGGATCAGACTGAAAACTTCTAATATAACGCCTTCCAGAAACTAGAGGCTCATTTACAATGACAGATCCCTTTGTCCTCCTGCTTTGACCCTAACCTTACACCTGGGCCACATCCTCTGAGAAAAATAACATAGCAACTCCACTGCTATTACTTTTAATGTATGCATTATTGCAGTGATACCACAGCACGTATTGACATTTCCCATATATAGATGTTTACAGAGGACAGTCACAGCTGCTCCTCTGTCCATTTTCATTTTAAGTCTCCAGCATTCACAGGAAATAAAAAGAAAAATCACCTATGCCTACTGCTGTATAATTTATAGGGTACTGGATTTTATGGCTGACGCATTGGAACATTGAACACATTTACTGAAAGTATTTCTTGCAAACATAGCACCAGAGTATTTTAGATGTTAAAAAATAAAAATAAATAAAATAATATAAACTTTTTACACTTACTTTTTTGTTTATATTTTCACTCAAATGAATGCAATCACATTTTCAGTTGAATTATATGTATGCTATAACCACATCCCTCTGTCTCCCTTTCATGCCCCTTTGACCCTTTTTTTGCTCTGATGTATGGTCCTCAGTAAAAAATAGTTTTTGCTTATATCCTTACCCAAATAAATACAATTGGTCTTTTTTTCCAATTGAATTACTATATGTATATTGAAACCACATCCCTCCGTCTCGCATTCATCCTCAGTTGACTTTAATGAAAAATGTGTATATAAATATACAGTATTTAACTACTAAGAGTGTTTTACTACTCTAAAACCTTCATTCAACCTCTCAGTTATTAAATTAGTTACTATATCTTTAAAAGTAGTGGCAAAAACTGGCAATTGTCGATTTCATCTGTCACTTTTATTCTTCATAATCTGCATAACTAATGACATGGCAGGGGTGTGCTCTTTGTCTACATGCTTTGTACTATAATGAGTCTCTCCTCTCATCTGAGATAGTTGGGGGGGGTGTTGGCAGATGTTAGTGCCCCTTTAAGCTTTGCCCCTCCTGTAGTGATATCATGGGTGGAGCCAGTGTCCATAAAATGGCAGTTGTGGGTTGGTCCCGGGGAGAGCAGGGTGTGAGAACAGGATACGCCAGTGCTGCACCACTTAAAGCTTATTTCGGTTATAGTAAATAAGAGTGCCTGGCTGGGCAGGGCTGAGAATGAGACCTTTTAAAAACAAGCAGTATGCAATTGAAGAGACCTTTCCACCACTGACCCTCAACTGTGGGTCTGTGACTTGGTGTAAGAGGGCCTTGGGGTCTAGGGCTGAGCAATCTAGAGGGAAACTGAACCAATCTTATGTTCTTCCTAGAGAATTGGTGTCAGGGGGCAGGCTCAGCCACCAGTAACTATAGCAGTAGAGAGGCTCTCATTGAGCAGCTGGATGAGTACACAAGCAGGTTACCCTGGTGTATGACACGGGCACACCCAAGGTTCATGTTCTAAGCACTAACTGGTATTCCCCAGAGCTTCCGATGGTGGAGATGGGTTTTGCTGTGTCTTAGTACCAGGTCGTGGTCCTCAGGATCACCCAACCAGGAGGTGAGTAAGCTCAGGTCCAGTAGCAGATATAGCAGGTAGGTATCAAGCAGAAGCATAAATAAGAAACAGGCCAAAGGTCAGTAACAAGTGGTTTCAGATGGGAATCCAGCAGAAGCATAGTTATGGAACAAACCAAAGGTTAATAACAAATAATAGTGGAGTTAAAGACAGCTGCAGGTATGAAAAGGAGCAAAATATTGGCTGGAGACAGATACAATAATCTGGCAAAAAGGAAGTGCAAAGGCATTGATTAAATAGGACGTTTGTGCGAGGAGCATGAAGTTCACGGTTCAGCAGAAACAAGGTACAAGGCAAGATTATCCAAGGAATCAGACAGGATGCTATCTAGGATCTCAGGTGGCTCAGCAAGAAGAGCTACTGCCAGATGCAGCATATCCTTGTCCTGACTAGTGAGGAAGATGGATGTATTAAGCAAACTAGGATGTTATGATTTGCAATGAAGTGTTCCACTGCAATATTCTTACAGTATGTCAGCTGTGATGTATGTTGGAAGAAGTTGCTGAATGCAGTGAAGTGTTCAAAATGCAAATGGAGTGGACAACTCTTTATTTCAAACATTAGCCCTTTGGCTGGGAATGTAGAGAGGGCCTAGGGCTGAGAGAAATGTGTCCAAGATGGCGGACCAAAGACAAACGGGTGGTTGCTCTGTCCTACGGAGAAGCAGGTTAGGACCTGGACAGCTTGGTGCCAACTGCCATTCAATCCAGGTTCCTTCAAGTATGCTAATCCCAACCACTTATACATAGAGCACTAGGCTACAATCAATATAAACAAACAGAAATCATGCTATTAGACGAAAACAGCTGCTGGCAAAACAATTAGATAAATAGTCTACCAAAAATATCAATTTACATTGCCATGCCGTGCTATCACTCATGACATCACCATGCAGGTTGTAACCTGGAAATGACCAGTACGATTCTCTGAACCAGTATTTCTGTTATGATAATTGTTGTTTTTAATCATGTGAGTGGCTAATACTTTTAAAATACATTTTGTATACAGTTTTACACAATGTTGGGGTTCCTAGTTTTCTTTATATGTCACAGCTGAATACCCTGCTTTATTGGATGTTGTGTTTTGGTGACCTTATGCGGAGATCCAGAGGTGGCACATGTTCCCCAACAGATTTTACTGATACACAAGCCCAAGTGACTTTTTTTATGTACAAAGAGTCCACTTGCTCTTCTAAGAGTATATATTCAAGGTGGTGGCAAACTTTGGGATTTGAAGCATCTAGCTAACAGGATTTCTTTCACTATATTTCTTACAAGTTTGGTTGCGTTCCTTTTCTTCATTGTTCACAAGTTTGGACTATTTTTCACTTGCTTGGGACTAACACTCTCATATTTAGGTTTATATGTTGTATCTATGATATTCACTTGGAATTTTTTAGCGCAGCAATGTAGATTTACACTAGGTTACACTCCCCTGAGCCCTCTTTTCTAGTGTGCCACTGGACATGTGCGCATCATAGTTACTAAACTGGTGCATTATGGGTCAGCTATCAGATTTTGGATCATGTAGATGGGTGTTATTTCCCATGTGTGATGTTCATTTGAAACGCCAGTCAAACACAGGTGACTCCAAAGACATGCTGGTAGGTTGATTGGTTCCTGCTTAAATTGGCCCTAGTACCGCATGTGTACGTATGAATACAAGTTAGGGTCCTTAGATTGTACGCCCCTTGAAGGTTAGGGACTGATGTGAATGTACAATATATATGTAAAGTGCTGCATAAATTGACGGCACTATATAAGCACCTGTAATAATAAATAAAATTTGGATTTACTTCAATGAAATAATATGGATGACAATTTAGAAATTGTGTTTGACTTGCTTTTCTTTGCTTTGTTTTGTATTGCATTATGTTTCTTCAGAAGTTACATAGTTAGTCTGGCTGAAAAAAGATAAAAGTCCATCCAGTTCAACCATAAAAAAAAAAGTTATAAACCTACACCCACAGTTAATCCAGAGGAAGGCAAAAAGCCCAGCAAAGCATGATCCAATTTGCTCATGCAAGGGAAAAATTCCTTCCTGAACCCCCGAGAGGCAATCGGATATTCCCTGGATCAACTTTACCTATAATTGTCAGTATCCAGTTATATTCTGTGTATCCAAGAAAGAATGCAGGCCTTTTTTAACCACCTCCCGCCCGCCATATAGTAATATGACGGGCGCAAAGTGGTTCTCTTGTTCTGGGAGGACGTCATATGACGTCCTCCCATTCTCATTGTGCATGCGCGGCTCAGGGAGCGCACAGCGCGGCGATCAGTGGTGCGCTGTGTCCCTCGGACACAGCGGAGCACCGATCACGGAAAGAGCCGAAGATGTCGGGTCGATCATGTGATCAGCTGTGTCCAATCACAGCTGATCACATGTAAACAGGGAAATGCCGGTTATCGGCATTTCTTTCCTCTCGAGCTGTCACGCTGACAGCTCGAGAGGAGAGGAGAGCCAGAAATCGGCTTTCCGCGGAGGAGACATGTACACTGATCATCAGAGCACTGATGATCAGTGTGCCCTGATGATCAGTGTAGCCCTAGCAGTGCCACCTGTCAGTGTCCATCAGTGCCTTATGTCAGTGCTCATCAGTGTCTCGTGCCAGTGCCAGTGTATCAGTGCCAGTGCCTACCAGTGCACATCAATGCCACATATCAGTGCCCATCTGAGCTGCCTTTCAGTGTAACCCATCAGTGCCAGTCAGTGCCACCTATTAATGCCAATCAGTGGCACCTATCAGTGCTGCCAATCAATGCCACCTATCAGTGCCAGTCAGTGCCGCCTATCAGTGCCAGTCAGTGCTGCCTATCAGTGCACATCAGTGCCGCCTATCAGTGCCTGTCAGTGCCGCCTAACAGTTCCAGTCAGTGCCGCCTAACAGTGCCAGTCAGTGCTGCCTATCATTGCCAGTCAGTGCCGCCTATTAGTGCCAGTCAGTGCCACCTATCAGTGCTGCCTATCAGTGCCATATATCAGTGGCATGTATCAGTGATGCCTTTCAGTGCCCATCAGTGATGCCTGTCAATGCCCATCAGTGCCCATCACTGCAGCCTCATTAGCGCATATCAGTGAAGGAGAAAAATCATTTTACACAATTTTATAACATAAACTAAGAAAAAACATTTTTATTTCAAAATTTTCTGTGATTTTTGGTTTGTTTAAGAAAAAATAAAAAACCCAGAGGTGATTAAATACCACCAAAATAAAGCTCTATCTGTCACACAAAAAAATGATAAAAATTTCATATGGGTACAGTGTTGCATGACCGCACAATTGTCATTCAAAGTGTGACAGCGCTGAAAGCTGGAAATTGGACTGGGCAGGAAGGGGGTATAAGTGCCCTGTAGGCTAGCGGTTAAAGCAATCCACTGAGCTGGCCAGAACCAACTCTTGAGGGAGTCTATTCCACATTTTCACAGCTCTTACTGTGAAGAAACCTTTCCATGTTGGGAGATTAAATTTATTTTCCTCCAGACTTGGAGTGCCCCCTTGTCCTCTGTGATGACCTCAGGGTGAATAACTCTACACAGAATTCACTATATGAACCGCTGATGTATTTATACATGTTGATCATATCCCCCCTTAACCATTAGCCGCCCAGCCAATGGCCGTTTGGCGGCTTCAAAAGTGTCTCTGCACTCCGGGTGCACGCCATTTGGCGTGCTCCCGCACATGCGCCGTTTGCGGTAATGCAGAGCGGCGCAACAGTGCGATCTGTCACCGGCCGTGCACCTCGGACACGGCCGATGACAGATCCGAGTACCGGCTCGCGTTGCTGGTACCATGTGACCTGCTGTGACCAATCACAGCAGGTCACATGACAGTTGTATACAATGGATGGCTTCATTCATGATGCCATCCATTGTATACTAGTGCCTAGCTGTGAATGGTCACAGCTAATCACATGCACATGTCATGTGATTAGCTGTGACCAAATCACAGCTAAGCACAAAAAAAAAAAAGCTGAATGAATCGATTTCATTCAGTTAAATGCTTGCTTATAGCAAAGTAATTCTTTGCTATAAGCAAATTGTGTAAAAAAAAAAAAAAAAATACTGATCACTTCCCCAAAGTAGTACAATGTTACTATGGTAACATTGTACTACTTTGGTCATAGTAAAATATGAAAAAAAAAATCTTAAAAAAAATGTAATAAAAAATTAAATATAATAAAAAAAAAAAAAAAAAAAAAAAAAATATATATATATTTTTTTTTTTTCATACTGTCACCAGTCAGTGTCCCTGTTCACCGCCATGCCAGTTATATGATGACGCTGTACTGCACTGGTGACAGTATGTAAAAAAAAAAATAGTGAAAATAATTTTTTTAATTTTTTCATTTTCCGAAAAATTATGACAAAAAAATACAACTTCAAAAAACTCGCCATGCCTCTTATGAAGTACGTCGGACTGTCTACTCTGCAAAAAGGGGTCATTTGGGGATATCTGTACTGTTCTGACATTCTTGGACCTCAAGAAATTAGATTGGCTGTCAGTACTTCAGGATTGATCAATATTCATATCTATACCATAGTTTGTGAACTCTATAACTATCCTACAAACTAAAAAATACATCCTAATTTGGGTTATTTTCACCAAAGACATGTAGCAGATTACATCTCAGCCTAAATTTATGAAGAACAATTATTTATTTGTAAATTTTTATAACAGAAACAAAGAAAAATGTGTTTTTTTAAAAAAAATTTTGTTTTTTTTTGTTATTTTAGCAAAAAATAAAAACCCCAGTGGTGATTAAATACCACAAAAAGAAAGCTCTAGTTGTGTGAAGAAAATGATAAAATTTTAGTTTGGGTACAGTGTTGTATGACCGCGCAATTGTCATTCAAAGTGTGAGAGCGCTGAAACCTGAAAAATGGCCTGGGCAGGAAGGTGTAAAATTGCACGGTATTGAAACGGTTAATCTCCTCTTCTCAAGAGAGAATAAATTCAGTTCCTCTAATCTTTCCTCCTCATAGCTGAGCTCCTCCATGCCTCTTATCAGTTTGGTTTCCCTTCTCTGTACTTTCTCCAGTTCCCCATTGTTCTTTTTGTGAATTGGTGCCCAAAACTGAACTGCATATTTCAGAGGTTCCTGAGGTTTTAGGATTCGTACAGGGGTAAAAGGATCTCTCTCTCTGGAGTCTATACCTCTTTTAATACAAGAGTGGATTTTGCTCACTTTAGGAACCTCAGCTTGGCATTGCTTGGCATTATTAAGCTTGTGATCTACCAGAACTCCCAGATCCTTCTCCACCATTGATTCCCCCAGTTGTACCCCCCTAGTATGTATGATGCATGCATATTCTTAGCCCCCAAGTGCATAACCTACATTTATCAACATGAAACCTCATTTGCCACATAGTTGCCCAATTAAACAGTGCATTGAGGTCAGCTTGTAAATTGGAGACATCCTGTAAAGACATTATTCCACTGCACAGCTTGGTGTCATCTGCAAAGACTGAAATGGGATTTATAATCCCAGACCCTATATTGTTATAAATATATTAAAAAGTAAGGGTCCCAACACTGAACCTTGGGGTACACCACTGACAACCCTAGACCATTCAGTGTATGAATCATTAACCACTACTCTCTGAATACGATCTTTTAGCCAGTTTTCTATCCATTTACATACAGATTTTTCCAAGCCTGTAGACTTTACCTTACACATTAGCCGTGTGTGGGGAACTGTCAAACGCTTTTGCAAAATCCAAGGATACCACGTCCACCGCCACCCCTCTGTCCAAGGTTTTTCTCACCTCCTCATAAAAAGAAATCAGATTTGTTTGACAATTTCTGTCTTTCATGAATCCATGCTGTCTGTTGCTTAAAATATTTTTTCCAGCAAGAACTCATCCATGGTATCCTTTATTAAACTCTCCAGTATCTTCCCAACTACAGAAGTTAAACTAACAGGTCTATAATTACTTGGTAAAGATGTTGAAGTGAAGTGACATGATGAGAAGCAAAATTTCCCAAATCTTACAAAGACTAAAAAGAGTTTTATTTTTACGTACACTTTGCAGCATATGTAAATGACTGGAGGCAAAGTGATTTTATTTCAACACATGTGCAATTATACTTTTATGGCCCAATTCATAAGTCTTGCAAAGCTTGCAAAAGCCTAGAGGTGTGAGTAGGGTCTCTGGTCCCATTATAGCTTCACAAAGTGAATCCAGCAATCTTGTTTAACTACTTGTGGGATCATCTTTGTTACCTCATATTCTAAAATGGAACGACTTCACACGCCAACCAGTTTATTGGAAAAACATAGTAACTGGACAGCATTCAGATGGCTGTCATGTATGGAATAAAGTCCAAAAACAGCTTCTTGCAATACCCTGACCCCAGGTCCATATGGACTCATCAAAGAGGACCTGTCGCTGTGAATCTATGCTCTGATTAACTGGGCTTGTTCGCAGTTAACTTTATTCCCTACATAACATTAAACTAAGTCCCATCTGACATATTTACATTATAAATCTTCATTTATCACATATACATGAGCCTATTCGCTATAACACATCCATCCTTGCACATACCAAAGCTGTTACACGCATTACTGTTCAATAAAGGGATAGAAGGTCAAACTGTGTTTAGAGCAAATAATGTCACATTCCTCAACATTAAATATATTTAAAACCAGAGAGACACGTGTGTTGTCACATGTTGCTGAAAGCAGTTTCTTCTTTAAAGTCATGGGAATATTAGAGTTTAGGTCAGGGGTCAGCAAGAAACTGAAAGAAGACAAAAAATTGCATGAAGTTGAATCACTGTATTTTTCAATGACACAATGACATCATGCTGGTGCCCAGGTGTACAAGGCCACGCTTATGTTTTATTTTTCTCTGTGGTCACAAGATATATATCAGCAAGCTTTCCATCATTGGCAAATGTCCCTGATTTCTAAGGACAGTCTTAAGTTTTGATTTAATTTGACCCTGAATTTTTTTTTTTCACATTATATATTATTATTATTATTATACAGTATTTATAAAGCGCCAATAGTTCGCTCAGCGGTGTACATTACAAAGGGGGACAGAACATGTGACAGAACAATACCAATACAATGCAAAACATGAGGGGATCGAGGACCCTGCTCTTTCGAGCTTACAAGATAGCTGTGGGGGATGGAGTGGTAGGAAGAGTGGAGGAGATCGGCAGGTTAGCAGGGGGTGGGGTAGGTTTCCCTGAAGAGATGGGTTTGCAGGGTGCGCCTAAAGGAGAGGAGAGTAGGTGATAATCTGATGGGTTGTGGCAGGGAGTTCCAGAGGATGGGTGACACCCTGGAGAAGTCCTGGAGGCGGGCATGGGAGGAGGAGACCAGGGAACTAGAGAGAAGGAGTTCTTGTGAGGAGCGGAGTGTGCGTGCTGGGCGGTACTTGGATATTAGGTCAGTGATGTAGTACGGGGCAGTATGGTGGACAGCTTTGTACGTCAATTTTAGGATTTTGAATTTGATCCGTTGCGCAATCGGAAGCCAGTGGAGGGATTGGCAGAGGGGGGGGTGGCGGAGATGGAGCGGTTGGAAAGGTGAATGAGTCTGGCAGCCGTATTCAGGATCGACTGAAGCAGGGATAGCCAGCGGCGAGGCAGTAATGTAGGAAGCAATATGAGATGTGTATGGTGACAAAGGGTGGGTGGGAATTTCAGTATGGGGCAATGGAGGAAGGAAGAGATTAGCGAATATGGTGGACAGGACATAAAAGTTTAGCAGTCAAGAGAAAAGGGGATAGGAAAAGACTTCGCCTCTCGGATGCGGTCAGATTAGATGTTTGAAGGTAGTTAAGGAATTTTAGAGGTTTATCTGGTTTATATCCATATAAAGTATTCACAGTTTCCATAATTTAAAGCAGAACTCCAGCCAAACATAAAAAGATACAAATGAGTAGCCTATTAAAATATACAAAAACAACACAAATTTTTGTTACAATATTCACCTTCAAGCCAGATATTTGAACCAAAGTACTTTTTTTTGCAGCTAGATGTCCTCAGTCTGACGGCCAACATCTTTCAAGCCACTTCCTCTGAGTCTAGGTTGCCCTGCACCCGCCCCAGTCTGTGACTGGACAGTGTAAGGATAAGTAGCACATCGATGAGCTCATCTCTCTGACACTTTGTTCTCCTTTCCTATCAACATGGAGGAGATCAGCTATTAGGAAAGATTAGAGG